AAATGGGGGATCAAAAAAACCAAAAACAAAACAGCTCAAGTAAGACACTTCTTGGAAACTGAGGTGATCCTACAATTTATTAAGCAGCTATACTCACGTCTGCGGCATCACACCACAGCTGCTGATAAAGAGAGAGGCTCCCCTGGCAGGGCACATGCCTGTGAGGGCAGGCAGTCCACCGTAATGGGGTAAGACTGCCATGACACAAAAAATTGGGTAGTGGCAATGACGAGCTAGGGTTGTCAACCCTCCAGGATTGCCCTGGATGGGAGTCTCCAGAATTAGATCTAAATCTCCAGGAGACTGCTGAGACTCACCCGGGAGATAAGTGATAGGGCATTCATTGAAATAAACTCCAGATGTTGAATCCAATTTGTACAGTAGTCCGGTGGGTTTTTAAAATGTAATAGTAATGTGCCTTTGCCTTCCTGCTGTAAAGTCTACACGCTGTCATCCGTACCTGATGCACACAAGCACGCAGGCACGTTTGCCTGGTGTGTCATGGGCATGTTGGCGCTCTGGAAACCTCCTGGAATAGATTCAAAACAGAGTTGGCAACCCTATAAGGAGCTGGTCTGCTCAGGAACAGGCCCATCCTCCCTTATGGCTTCAATCATTAAACCGTAACATCTCCTTGACACATTTTTACCCATCTCCAGAAAGGTACCTTCTTTTAACATTTATACAAAAAAAAAAAAATTCTGTGAGTGAGCAATCAGAATGGCTTACGCTGCCAGGTGCAAACTGGGTAGATTTTGCTTCAAGTTGGCACTAATTCCCAAGAAAGCTTGTGCCCTATTCTTTAAACCTAGTCCATCTTTGATCTGAAAATGGATTTATTACCTGGGAAAATGTATTTATTACTTACTAATTTTTAAGTGCATTTTATACTACACTAGTTAGGGCTGTTAGTGTGATTTCTCCCATTAAGTCCTTGGATCCTCCTGTGGGCACCTGATCTGCTGCTCTGCTTTCTGGTTCCTGCTCTATCTGCTGCTGTGCTCTTTGTTCCCTCCTTGATCTGCCAAGCACCACACACACAGGCTCCCTGTTTCACTTGTGGCATGTGTGCTGCAGGTTGGCCACCCCTGTTTTAAAGGATGTCTTTTTGCATCATCAGGACATGGTTTAGTATATATAGGTGCTGTACCTGGAAAAAAATTAAAAGGAATGAATATGGCATTGATAAGCTTGGGTATGTTGCTTAAACAATGGCTTGATCGCTCCTTAATGCAACTTGCTTTTTTTTTTTTTTTTGCAAATACATATTTTCACCAGAGGATGTTTGAAGTGGAAGATGTAAACTGCATCTGCATAGATTGGAAGAGTAGTTCAAGATGCCAGTATACCCAGGCATCAAACAACATCCGTGTTGTGGGTGCTGAAATTGCCTATTTTATAGATGTCCTCATGGTAAGAGATCTTCTTCTTTTAGGCACACAAAACAGCATAATATTGATGAAAATAATGTGATCAGAGTACACAATCTGAATGGGAATGTACACAGCCAGCAAAAGACTCCTCCCCGACACCATTTTATTATGCGGGCAAATTTTGAAGTTCTGCTGCAAACAACAGAAGTGTCTGAGTTCCTTGGGAAAATAAGAGGACACAATACTTTTTACAATAGAAAGTGTTGGGCACCCTGCTTATAAAAGTTTCTGCCGGCCCCTTACTAGAGTTGAGTATTTTCAGTCTGCATATAAGTACTTTTGTACAACTGAGCTGTTGTATGGAGCCTAGTCCAACCACCTGCATAAGGCAGGATCATCCCTATCCAAACCATCCTAAACAAATCTATAATCTAACTCTTTGTAAAACTACCGTCAAACCTGATACAACACAGGACATAACACTCTACCAGCTTGAGTCCCGTGGGTAAGATAAGTAGAGCAACTCCTAGTTGGTTAATCCCACCAAATGGGTGCTAAATTGATCATCACTGTCAAGACATCTCTACATGGGCTACAGGTACATCCAAAATTAGGCAGCAACCAAGGAGAGGTTCAGAGAATCCAAATTTTGGATTTAGGTGTCTAAAGTGGCAGTTAAATGCTTAAACCTTGTCTAGGTTCCTCTGGAGATCTAGCCCAGACTTTTTATCCAAATGAAGGGCCAGATCTTCATCTAACACAAATTGCTAGAGATTTGCTAATATTCATCACCATTTTTACACTACATGAAGATTCAGGGACATTTTCAAAGCAAAATTACAGAGAATTAGGCACCCCAGTGCTATTTTTACATTTGAAAATGTCCCTCTCTGTCCCTAAATCACTAGACTTTAAAAAACTTAGTCCAGAAAATAACAACATTTTGGGGGAGAAGACCAGTCTCTATTTTTTATTTTTCTAAACTGGTTTTTCTACGACCAGTATAAGAAAAACAAGGGCCTGCTTTTCTACTGCCATTCAGCCTGTGCTATTTACAGGCCTGCAAAGCAGGTATAAAATGCAAATCAGAATAGTAGTGTTTGCATTGGTATTAGTGCCAACACAAGGTTCAGAACAGTGCAGAATGAGACCTTTGAAAAGCACTGATGTCTTAAAAAGCCAAGGTGTAAAACCCCAAGTACACTTTCCTGCCAAGGAAGAAGGAGCAAGCAGCCCAGCTGGTGGATCTATGAATATATGGGCCCAGTGCTACAATCTCACATGTGCACAGCAGTTACAGAAGCTGTCAATGGTTTGAGGCTTCAGCAGCACCTATGGAACGACCCTGTTGCTTCTGTCCTTCTTTACGTTCCAGGAACCTCAGCTCTGCTCCACATATTTCTCAAGCAGCAGAATTTGGCCCCTCAGTTAGTCACAGCCTCTGTCCATGCCTAACATCATTGAAAATAAAGATTATGACTTTTAAACTTTGTTTTTATCAGGAAAGATACCAGTACTCCCCTTCCAAGGTCCATATCATCGGCCATAGCCTTGGAGCTCACGCTGCAGGAGAGGCAGGGAGGCGGCGGCCAGGCATAGCAAGAATAACCGGTAGGTTAATGAATTCTAGCCCAATCGATGCTAGAGAAAACTGCTAAATCCTACCATTACCTCATAATTTACAGAACCTGCCTGTAGGTGCTTGTTGGAGCTGGCTAGCATGTGTACATGGGTGCCTATGCATATCTATCCATCTATCTAGGGCTGTGCGAAATTTCACCGGTTGTTTTGATTCGACACTGTTTTGACTGATTTCAAGCTCAAAACAGTGAGATCAAATCGAAATGAAGGGCTTCGAAACAGCCTCAAAACAAAACGAGGCTAGCCAAAAAGTTTCAAAAAGTTTCAAGTTTCGAAGCCAGCAGTGAGAGACAGGGGAGAACCAGGGCTGTGCTCGCAAGGGAAAGGAACTGAGCCTGGGCTCAGTTCCCCACCCCAGAGCTGCGATCCAGCAGGGGGCACTGCAATCCAGCGGGGTGGGGCAGAGAGTCAGCCGAGTTGGGCTTACTCCCCCCCCACACTGCAGTCAGGTGCGGGGCGGAGAGTCAGCCCAGCTGGACTGACTCTCTGCACCTGCACCCGATCGCAGCATGGAGTGGGGGAGTGAGCCCAGTTGAGCTGACTCTCTGCCCCTGTGCCCGATCTCAGTGCGGTGGGGGGGAGTGAGCCCAGCCGGGCTGACTCTCCGCCCCGCACCTGATCACAGCAGGGGGGGAGGGAAAGGAGTGAGCCCAGCTGGGCTGACTCTCTGCTCCCCGCCCCGCACTGATCTAGTGCTGGGGATGGAGAATCAACTCAGCTGGGCTGATACCCTGCCCACTGTGCGATCTAGCACTGGGGGTGGGAAGTCAGCCTAGCTGGGCTGACTTCCCACCCCCAGCAAAACGTTGAAACAGCATTGAAACAGCCTTTCAGTTTCGATGGAGCAGAACGGGACAGCTGTTTCAAATTGAAATGAATTTCGAAACGGAAAGCTGTTCCTTCGAACTGTCGAAACCGAAGGCAAAATGGAAAAGTATCATTTCACACAGCCCTACTATCTATCTATCTATCTATCTATCTGGTGTATGTAAGTGCTCCTTACAGGACAGAGTGAAAACAGCTCTACTACACTGTAGCCCTCTATTGCCAACAGAGCCAGATTATTCCCTTCTGTTATAAGTAGTCCTCTCCTGATTAGCAGGAAACTCCACAAGGATACCCTCCTGGCCTTCCTCATCAGTAGTGCCACTAGAAGCTATGGAGGTTTGCATCCCTGAGACCAACTTACATCAAGGCTTAGTTTGCCCTTGGGAATCCCATAACATGCAGTGTGCAATGGCCAGGCTGCTGTAGCTGGCTAATGGGGCAGTGATCAGACCTGAACCTCACCTCTGGGGCAGGGGAAAGGGATGGCGTCTTTCCTATACAGAAGTTATCCTACAGAAGTTATCCATACAGAAGTTATCCTGTCCCCTGACCTCAAGGGATGGGCCCATGGAGCATGGGCTGTTCTGGCTTGGTACACTATAACACGGTGACACTGGAGCATATTACTATGTCACTAAAGCAGCTGAGTGCCAAGTCCCACAGTCTCGGTTCATTTAACAGGCTTGACCTGGGCCAGCTTTAATGGTTCTGATTATTTTCTAAGTCATTTGCCCAATTCTATTGTAAAAGAAGAGGCCTGACATAGCAATTCCCACACTCCTTATCCTGGCAGTTTCTCTCCTATCATCCCTGTCCCTCATTAACCCAGCTTGTTGTGCAGGTGCAGGGGCACATCTGGTGTTCAAGATCACCCACTGCTTGCAGGCCCCTCCAAAGCATGGTAAAAGCAGTGCAGGAGTGAGCACAGTTAATTGTTTTGTGCTTGGTTCTGCTGCCCAATACCCTTTTTCAGGAAAGGATGAATTGGAACTGACATACCAAAGGCAGAAGCTGAGCTTGCAGATGTAACCCTTTAATCTCCTTGGTTTCCTGGGTTTAACATAAATCCCTTCATCTTTGCAAAATGCATTTACACGTGTTACATCTCTGCTGACTTTAATTTCTTAGGATGTAAAAAAAAACAAAACCAAACAAGCCAACTATAGTGCACAGAGAAGATGGCCAAACAGCTCTTTCAAGGGATGGGCCTACAAGACCCAAGCTCTCTGTCTTCCACAGCCAAACATTTAGGCATGTGCTTAACTTAAAGATATTGGAGTTGTTCTGTTGATGCCCATGGAGCCACTCAGGTACTTATAGTTAAGCATGTATATAAGTGCCTTTCCAGAGCATGGCCCAAGAGCTCAATGTCTTGCAATGTCTTGGCCACTGGTATAGCTGTGGCAGCAACAGCGCTCTGGGCCCTGGCTGTGGGCTGGATGCAGCAGTTCATCCTTTCGCCATGCACCAAGGTCACTCCCACAAGGCACCTTTGTTCCTGGGTTGTTAATTGCACCCTGTCTGTGGTCGTTATCTTGCTCATCACAAGACACAGCTTCTTCACTGGCAGGGGAGATACCACAAGGTGTTTTTCAGCCCAGGTGGATTTACTTACCTGGCAGGGGAGATACCTTTCTTCTTGGCCTCGAATGGCTTGGTGTAGTTTGAAGGTGTGTGCTGCAGGCAGGCTGACCCCTGCGAGAGTCTACAAATGCCTCCAGATGTGAGGATCTTGTCTCCACGGTTTATGCTGAGGGGGGAATTGCTTTTGGGCTTTCCCACTAGCTTGGCTCCTTTGGCCTTTTAGCTAGGGGCAAGCAAGACTAGAGGGCATCTGAGCTCCAAGGCCTCTGGCCTTGAGACTTGCATGCAGGATGCCTGCCATGGAGTTGGGAGTATCTGAAGCCCCAGGCTGAAGAGTCTGGGGGGTAGGATACTTGCCAGTGGTCGCGCCACACAGACATGAATGATTATGCTCTGCTGAGTCGATAGAATTCAGAACTTATTTGGCTGATTTGGCCCAAAACATGAAATTAAAAAACCCCACAATTTCTTAACGAGAACTTGGCTTACCTTGGGAATAAGCTTTTTTCTAGGAGCTGCCTCTCCGCATAATTACAGACATCTGCCTGTGGCTGCAGAAACCCAACTCCATCCCTGCAGGAACTCACCCATTACACCCAATGATAAACAAATATTCAAAATCATTACAAAATAGAAATGATAGGACTTTGTTTGTAGAACCAGGGATGTCCTAAGAACAGGCTCCAAATCCAAGCAACGTATTCCCTAGCTTGCCGTGTCAGTCTCTTCTGCAAGCATGTTCAGCACCCGCAAATTTTACAAGGCCTTTGTTTGATCTCCTCACTCATTGTCCAGGCTAGTCCAAGGGTAAAGTACATCAGGCAGAGAGGCTACTCCTCCTGCACCAAAGCCAATTTCAAATGTTATTAACTCAGCTGTTTTCAGTTATTACATCTCCCCGAGGGGTCTGGGCCTGGTGACCCTTGGACTAATAGTCTGCAAATTTCAATTTAAAAACCAAACCAAAGCTACCGCCCAGGAAAAGTATCAGATATAAGCACAAGACAGTAAATGCTTTGTAGTTTACAAGATTTTTGAAGCTCCAGGGGTAGCTGCAGTGATTGAAAAAGCAAAGCAGTTTCTGTTCTCTGGTAGCATCAGGAGGAAAAGGCCACCGCATCAGAACTAGGTGCCGAAAGTTAAAGCCCCAAAACCATCATTTGGATGGGGCAATTTTCAGAAGTCTTGGGCACTCAACAGCTCCCCCATTCGTCCTAAAGCATTTCTGAGAAGTAGGCCATGGGAGATATGGAGTAAGCAGCCTAACTTTCAGTAACAGTTCATTTGAAAAAAAATCCTGGCCTAAAACAACCACTGGTGTCACAGTGCCGGAGTTCAGGCATAAACATTAACGAGGTCAGATGCTCAGGTGGTATAAATCAACATACATAATCTACTGACTTCAGTAGAGCTTCTGATTTCTGCCAGCTGTGGTCCTGCTCCAGGGTGCACTATTTGTAACAGATCTATAATATAGGGTCTTCATAAAGTGCTTGTGCACAGCCTAAGTTATTCAAGTTTAAAAGTGCACAAGGACTTTATGAAGACCCTGTATATGCATAAGACTGTAAGATGCATGTTGTTACTAATACAGTCTTTATGGCTGAAGATATATTTACTTAAACTTCTATTTCTGAAATTAAAGAAACTAAGCAGTGATTATGTAACAACTATAGATACATATATCTACAAAAATGTGTACATATACAGCTACAAATATGTAGTTTCCCCAATTGAAAGTGGTATCATCAATGTTTCTTTCTTTATTTACACATCCACATCTATTTAAGGACTGGATCCTGCAGAGCCTTACTTTCAAGGCACTCCCATTGAAGTCAGATTGGATAAGAGTGATGCGACCTTTGTTGATATTATCCACACTGATTCGGCTCCTATGATTCCATATTTGGGTGAGTTTCCCAATGCAGGTTTGTTATTATCAACATAACAACTAGTTTGACGAATAAAAAGAATATGCATTGTGGCGGCATCTATGCACCACAGTCATTGAATATGACCCCATTCTGCTAGATCCTGTGTAGACACAGAGGGGGGGAAAAAACCTGCCAACAAAGAGCTTACAATTGACTAAAGAGGTACTAAAGATAGTACTAAAGCCACCGATAGCTTTGTGTAGGTGCATACCAGTGTGTATGTGCATGCATATGACACGGCATTAAATTAAAATTTGCTTATCCCTGTTGCAAATATTTCAGGTTTTGGAATGCGCCAAGCTGTCGGGCATATGGATTTTTATCCAAATGGAGGAGAAAACATGCCAGGATGTAACAAGAATCCCGTGTCACAGATTGTAGACATTGATGGAATCTGGGAAGGTAACTAGAGGAAGTAGATGATGATTTCTAGCGTGGGTCACCATCAGTTTGAATTGACCCAAGTTTTCTTGTTTCAGGTGGTTTTGATTATTTTTGTTACGTTTGCCAACAGTTACAGCTGTGCAGTTTTCAGCGCAGTCCAAATATGTTCACTTTAGTACAGGGACTGAAAGCAAATAAAAGAGTAACGCAAAGGTTTTGCTTCTGGGAGACCTATCTGACAGCAGAAACAAACCGCTCGAGCAGTGCCAAAAGCTTTAAATGTCCTGAACAACAGCAGTCAGGCTTGTTTTTATGATGGAGTTATCTAGCAGCTGCTCGGGGTGGAGCGATCGCAGTCAATTCTAGTTCCGTTCTGGAACATTTGTCTATCGTTTTTGTCACCCGGGGTCACTACATTGACATTTGCTTCTACATTGGAGTTATCTGTTGAAATGATGTCATTGTGTGTCTATTCTTAGACAGTTTGAAAAAGTCGGGACTACGACAGAGCACGTAGACTCTTATTTTTACACTCCTAACAGAAGTCTTTATTGACAGAGCCGCTCGGTATTGGTAGTCCCACAAAGTTAAGTCGCGCTTGACGAAATAAAAACAAGGCATGCTCCCTCCCTCGAGATGCTTCTAGTATAAGGCTCCGATTCTTTTCTATACAAATCTGTGAAATGATTATTTGCAATAACTGGCCTGTTTCTACAGTCTTTGCTCAGGCCAAATGTTTGCTGAAGGCTATAGGATGTTTTGAGTTACTGATCAGTAATGGGGACTTGAAACATGCACACGCATGCACACACACACATGCACGCACAGCTATACTGAACGACTCCTTTTTAAAAGAAAAATTCAGTTCAAAATCGTATTTTTTTCTCAACTTGAAAATAATAATTCTTCTCCCTGCCCCCCACCCCAAATTCCTCAGCCGGCATAAACTGGTCCCAGTCCAAGAATTTGGTGTGAAAGTAGGACACAACTGGATACCTTCCATTTTGTTTCCTTTTATAACACTGTGAGGTGCTGCCTACGATGGCCTGGTTACACAACAATCCTTGTTTAAAACTGCAGAGCACTTCAGACTGGGACTACTCTTATGAGTAACTGTTCTCCAGCATGGGCCAGGACTGTACAGTCAGTCTTTGCAAGCATTACAAATCTGTGCTTTACACCAATGCATGCAGCCACTATAAAATTAAAGCTCAAACTGTAGCTCTGGCATTTCATGAATTGTGATGGGGGATTAGTGAATCTGTCAGACAACATGACCAGGGCAATGCCATCATCCTTATCCAGATGTTTAACAGAAAGTAAGAAGTCACCACCCAATAACCACATAGTGGGACATTTAACAGCAGCTGCTTTTTCCAGGAACTCGTGACTTTGTGGCCTGCAATCACTTGAGAAGCTACAAGTATTATTCTGACAGCATCCTCTTTCCGGACGGATTTCTAGGATATCCCTGTGCTTCGTATGAAATTTTTGAGACGGTAAGTCATTCTCCTTCCCTGGGAGAGGGGTCAGGCTACAATAAGTGGCACTTCTCTGAGCCATAGTAGAGCAAGAGCTCAGTAAAAATAGGCTACAGCAGGAGTTCAGGCCTGGTAGATGGACATGTTAGGGCCTCCTCCAGGACTGGGCTTGGGTGGGATGAAGAGGGGAAGTGGTATGGTAAGGCACAGCTAAGCCTAGTTCTGCAGTAGCATGAAGGCCCTGCTGGCTTTGGTTAAAGCTGCCTCCGTAGCTTCCTCTTCTGCTTTGTTGTGCTGAAGGAAACTCAGTAATACCTCCCAGACCACTTTAAAATATGATGTTTTCAAATGATGAAAAACAGAGCAACCCATGCAAGGCTCAGGGTTCAGTTTGCACTCACTTAACATCTGCAGATGGCCTCAAGGGCATCATACAGGTGGGAAATGGCCTAAAGTCACTTATCCCATAGCTCCAGGCATAATCCATAATCCACTGTTAGCCAAAGCTGCAGCACTTCTGTCAACCTCCCTATGTGGCCCGGTCACAATCAGAAGGGAGAAGAGCCCCACTGTACAGAATAATAATACATAGCACTTACACACAGCTTCACATATTCAACAAATCATATGCTGAGGCGGCATTCAGGGACTCAGCTAAATTGCATGAGCTTTTCTTAAGCAGCTAGAGGGAGAGAGACTGGGGCTAATCTAAAACATGTTGCTGCAGAGATTTAGAAACAATGGGATTATTAAACTATTACTGTCATTAATGGATCTACTGGTTTTCATTAGGAAAGCTGCTTCCCGTGCCCCCAGTATGGATGCCCCAACATGGGTCATTACGCAGATAAATACAAGGGGAGTCTTGGTTCTCAGTTCCAGAAATTTTTTCTGAACACGGGAGAGGCCAAGAATTTTACTCGTAAGCCTTTACTTCTTCTATTCTCTATCTGCTTGCTTGTAAACCGGTAGGGCGTGTAAACAGTTTCCCTCTCTCTTTAATTCAGTTTTAACTGACAAGGTGCCTGCCAGTGGTGGTGACTGGGACAGTGGAGCTCCACACCCCCGAGCCCATTTTCCTCGGTAGTCTGCCCATACCTTCTTCTGACACAGTGCCAAGGCTACTCCACCTTCCCCTCGGGAGACTGGAGCAAGAGAGAGCAGAGCCTGCTCTGCCAGTTGTATGACAATGAAAAGTTCTCCTGAGTACAAGGAACTTCTCCTCTGGATTTCAAACAGGGTAAAACCCAGGGTGGACTGATTATGGACTGGAAAATACCAGCCCACACTCTTCAGACTGGTTCCTTACAATACCAGCCCAAACCGAACAAACAGCTCTCACGTCCTACATCCTTTCTATCATGTTATGGACTATTCGTTTTACAAAGAAATGCAAACGCCTCTGAATTTGCACAGCTGTATACAATGTACATTGTGGGTGTAACGCACAATTTGAAGCAATCAGGACTCATGGTAGAGGTGATATCTTTTATTAGACCAACTAGATTTTTTTTTAAATTCTTTTGCAAAAAAAAAAATTGCTTTTAATTGCAAACATCTAGTTGGTCTAATAAAAGTTATCACCTCTACCATGAGTCCTGATTGCTTTTGCCACTACACCAATACAGATACAACCTGGAGACCTGACACAATGTGAGAATTTGGATTTGCTGGTGCTTTACACCTATTTTGTACACTTGTAAATGACTGCACAAGAAGTGCGTTAGGACATCAGGCTCTGAGTGTTATCCTATGAGGCCATTCAGCTGTAATTTTCCGTAGTCATTCCCATGAGGTCTAGATATAATTGTGAGCTCAAAGGGAAATGATAGGCACCCCCCTACCCAACTTTCATTACAGGATAATGACAGAAAACCAAAAATTGTCCCTTTCTCCCCCCTGTAAGAATCCAGTTTAATTCATTTTATTTCTGCTGTGTAGGGTGGAGGTTTCAGGTGTCTGTGACAATATCTGGAAAGAGTAAAGTGAGAGGGCTTGCACATATTGCCCTGTATGGAACTGGAGGAAACACCAAGCAATACAAAATTGTCAAGTAAGTTCGGTATTATTGTGGAAAATATGCTATTCCACCATATCAAAGTTTAATATTTTTAATTCATTGTTTTTCTTCAACCTATTTTATAGGCTAAATACTGCTCTCAGGTATGCAGGTACAAATCCAGAGTACCTGGACCTGAACTGACTCTAGATTTATACCTGAAAAAGAAAGAGCTAGAATTTAGCCTTTCGTCTTTGATAAGAATAGGAATACATCATCTGGGGCTATCTTCTGATCTCAGGTCCACCATGTAAATCTGGTATAACCAAACTGATTTCAGAGACATTAGCTGACTTCCACTAGTGGAGTTCTGATCATTTATTTTTCACGTTTTTAAAGTGATCTTTCCATTATATTTTGGTCATAAATGGTACCACCAGTACCGCCTCTAGTTAAGGCCTCCTGCCATACATTTTCTATTATAAGAACTATATCAATGCTCATAACTTTGCCAGACGTTACCATTTGGCCAGAAATATCCCAAACCTGCATCAAGCTGTTTTAAGTTTAATAGTTCAGCCATTAAAGGAGCTGTTCAGCCATTAAAGGCTAGGGAATAATACGCTGCTCTGCCCATATTAAGCACATTCTTATGCATAAAAAAAAAAAGCTCAAAAGCCTCCGGATTTCATAAAATGGCATTTAAATTTAGCAGGGATCAGTATGGCATCAAGGGCAAACCTATTTGCCATCCCCAGGCAAATTCATTCAAATTTGGCCAAGTTATGACATCTAAAAGATCTCAGCTGGCATATATTTGATCAATGTTTGGCAGCTAAATTCTTCAAAGACAGTCTGCCCTGTGCATGCTGCGGCCCGTCCCAGCTACACTTAGCTTGCGTCATCTCCACACAGAGGAGAAAAGAAGGAAACTGTCTGATTTTAATGCAGAAGTGTGAGAAAGCACTGGGTCTGGGGAGAGTATGGGAGCGGTGAGAAAGAGTGGGTGGCTTAGACAGATGAGCGGAGTGAGGGGCATAAAGACAGTCCACCAGATGGGGAAGAAAGCAAGGAGCCAGCTAGATATTTGGATAGGCAGAGGCAGGAAAAGGGCAGGAGCAGGGGGAATACAGATAACTGTGAACACTATCATAATCCTTCTATGCAACCTGGACAAATTAATGTTGCACATGGCTTGGCTCAACTATGCGACCTTCATATTCTTTTTAGCACTTTATATAACATAAAGCTTCCATACAGATATATGAATGTATGCATATGGGTGCGTCTGCTCCTAAAAGACTGAACATTAACAGCTGCATTGACAGATGTGGTCTGACCTTTCCAAAAAAGCTCCATTTTAAATTCAGCTGGAATCCCTCAAACTCTTTTGAAACCCCCAGCTATCGTGCATCGCACATAAAGCCATGCATTACACACCATTGTGGTTTTTCTGCTGCAGTGAGAGCGGGTTTCTGTGTTGTGAGTTAATAATCCTGTTTGTTTTTGTTGTAGTGGGACAAGTATGTCAGTACTGGATTACAGTTTATGTGATCCAGTTAATAATATGCTATGCTGCCATGGAAATAGTGAGGGGAAATAGATTTAATGGTGGGGATATTATAAGTGATTTTCATTATGCTATTTATTCTGCTAGACTGAATTTAGATTCTCCAGGGAAGCTGGAGGGAAGGCCGGATTTTGACACAGACCACTTAGCAAGCAAATTTGACTTGATGGGCAATCCATATACATTTTTGACCCATTTCAGTGTCTTTCTGCATATCTTTTTCCCACACCCACTTTCACGCTGTTGTCTCTGCCTGGAACCGCCTTCTTGACCTTGTTCACCTCATGACCTTCCTCCTTAACTGCCTAACCAAATCCTGCTTCTTCACGGACTTCCTTGCTTAGATACTGGAATTACTGTAGATTTATGCCACTATGGCAAAAGGCAGAATTTAGCCCAATACCTCTAATCAGGGAAAAGTTTAGGTGTCCTGAAAGAAATGAGAGATATTAGCAAGAGCCCCCTTGTAATTCCTAAGCTCATTGAGCTGGCTTTTTTAGCAATGCATGGAGATTTTATTGCTTTTGATTGTGGGGAAAGAGGAGCAGGCTAGTATCGAAGAGGCTTTTTTTTTGCCCAGTTGCAACTTGACCCTCTCTTTTCTTTGCTGGATCATTAAGACTCCATCTGCCTTAAAAACTCAACCATGGTTGGAGGAACCAACCATGGAGGAACCAGCCAACTGGGTTGGTTGGAGGAATTCAACCATGGAGGAACCAACCGGCTTGGTTCTTCCACGGTTCTCTCCTGACATTCATTCAACACACCTACATTTTGTATGCGTGCATGCATGAGAATAAGGCAGCATCTGAACTGAAGCTATAACGTATGAGCAACAAGTGGTTGAAACTTTTCCTATGCTACCATAGAGAAGGATGTGGCCACCAGATTTAGACTCGCTGCAGTTTACCAGGGGGCTCTAGATGTGGGATCGGGCTGATCTACAGACCAGATCCGCCCAGCAAGGTGCGGGAAGAGATTTGAACCAGCGCATCGGGGAGCTCCCTGCAGCCTGGATTAAACCCCAGGCTCCATTAACCTCCGGGCTGCTGGCCACACTGACACCTCTCCCCACATCAGCAGCATCTCTCATGGGGAGGTGGGGGTGAGCTTGATAACAGGATTAGAGCCACATTTTTTGGCATGCACCGGGTGGGATTTGAGGGATATTCGGGCTCCCCTGGCAGCCTCTGATTCACAAAGCAGCAGCCTGTCATTGCTAAAAGACACCTGACCTCTGCTCTAGAAATACGCATTTCAGAGAAAATGAGGCATTCGCTATAGGGCCAGGGATATAGCAGATAAGTATGGCTTTGGGCAGCAGTTTTACTGAATACAGTGGTTTCAAAAGAGCTAGACTGGAAAATAGTGAAGGATTCTTCAGTTATATGAACATATACATGAAAGTATATAGGGCAAAGCAGGATAATAAGGTGCTCATTAGTTGACAAACTGAAAGCATTATTTGTTATTAGCATGGTGCTATCACTACACAAGCAGTTGAACTGCATTGGCAATTGATATTAAACCCCAGGTGACATCACTGTTTTTATACCTTTTTTTTTCGAAGGGGCGCTCTCAAACCAGGCAACACTTACACAAACTTCATTGATGCAGAAAATAACATTCAAAATGTTACTAAGGTTAAATTTCTTTGGAACAACAATATCCTAAATCCAACTCTGCCTCGACTGGGAGCAGAAAAGGTCACTGTACAAGAAGGAGAAAATGGAAACATGTACGTATATTTATTACAAAAATCTTGAATGTATTTAGGGGTGTACTTGGTAGCCGTGTTGGTCTGAGACAAAAAGACATACAAAAAATATATATAATAAAAGGTCTCACTTTGGACCCAAGAGTTCTATTTTTTTGTATGTCTTGAATGTATTTAGGAGATACAGAAGTCAGTCTTGGTCATGGGTTAATAGGACAAGAATAGGCACTTAGAGTATTAAAAAATACCTCAGGAAAATTTAATTTCCTTCCTTACTAGATAAGGATCAACAGTAGGCTACTGGTACTTCAACTATTTTTCTTACATAGTATCAAGGAAGGTATTATAAATGGCTCTGTGTTTGGCTGCAAGAAGGGAAAAGTTCCTGTGAAAACCTCTGTGCACTGGATGAAACAGATTTATCGTGGCTTAGGCAATCTCCATACATGTTTGTCTAGTTTGCAAACATTAGTCTCTTGGGCAATGAAATGTCGATACCGGTGGGTTTTAATCTTTTTTTTCATTTGCGGACCCCTACAAAATGTCAAACGGAGGTGTGGGTCCCTTTGGAAATTTCAAATGGGGGTGCAGACCTCTTTGACTTGTAAGTGTGGGTATTCACATGCTTTGATCGATCATAGTCACCATTTGTGGAGCCCTTAGCCATGGTCTGCAGACCCCCGGGGTCCACAGACCACAGGTTGAAAACCTGGCCTCGTGCATATCCAGTCTGCACACTGGCTGCACCCCACTCAGCCAGGCTTTGTGCTGGCGAAGTTGGAAACCACTGTGTACAGCATGGCAGCTGTTGATCAGAAGGTGTCCTTTGAATTACGCCGTTTGAAGGCAGAGGGTGTCAATCAGTTGACCAGCAATGGTGTTGCGTTATCTTGTCTGGCCCCTGAATGGAGATACACATTATCGGGGAAGGACAATAAAGGTATCAGAGAAAGCATTAAAGTCACATAGCTAAAGGCATAGTATCATGGAAAAATAGAAGGCATCTCAAAAGGTTATTTAGTCCAACCAAGTCAGAGAAGCCAAACAGTGTGAATGAATATAGGTCCTCGACATTGTAACAGGAAATTGTGGTTTACATTTGGCAACTCAAAGAATTTTCTTGTTAGTCAAATGTAGTAATGTCCTATCGTGGCCATGTCAAATGAGGAATTAGGTTAGCTTCTTTGTATTATAGACCCATTAGTATAATTTTGTAAAAAAGACATACTATAAGTATTTTTATATATGTTTTTCTCCTCAGATTTAATTTCTGTGGTACCGAAACAGTGAGAGAGAACGTCCTGCAAACCCTTACTTCTTGCTGATAGCATTCAAAAAATGTCAGTGCTATCTGTTAATGCCAATAAAAACTACAAATGCACTAGAAGCTGGGGCTCTCAGTCATTATGGGATGAAGCATTACAATTTTTACTATTTGTGCCTTCCAGCACCCAGAAGTAGCAAAGCACCGCCCAAACAAACAGAAAAATCTCAGCCCCAGATCATCCTTCCCAAGCATCTTCTTGTCCATGAATATAAGGAATTCCCTTCTACCTTCCATAAAATCATGGGGAAAAGGAGATTCTTGACTATCCCTACCCCTATCTCACCCCACTGGCTTTCAACTTTGAGTCCTTCCTTAGAACCTGGGTACAACCAGGTTTCTCTATGGATGCAAAAGACATACAGAAGTAGATCCATCGTCAAGACCGAGAACCCATTTCTCTAGGATAATTATGTTTTAAAGTCCAGACATCAACCACTGCTCTTTCCACTTCAGTTAGCATCACATACAGCATTTTTAACCCTTAGTAAGGGAAGATCCTAGGCCACAAACCTCACTGCAACAATAGTTCACAATTTTGCATTCCATCAATGCACGACCCCTTCTAACGCTCTCCAGCCTACCAGAAAGAAGCAAAGGAGCCCTCCGCCATTCCCAGAACAATTGCATCCCACCTGCGAGACTGCCTAGGCAGCTGGTAGCACCTTTGGGGGTGAAAGCATGAGCATGAGCATCCTGAAACCAAAGTATGAGCATCCTGAAAGCAAAGCATGAGCATCCTATTGCCTCTTGCTTTGGTGGAAGTTGAAAGAAGAGTTCTTTCACAAAAACAGAGAGAGAAACAGAAAGAGCTCCTGGGTGACGCGTTATCGACATCTTTATGAGACCTTTAAGACCCATAGACCCTTTCAAATGAGAAAAAGAGGTTCTTTATTTTTCCGTTATCACAATACTTACTGACAATTTCAGCTCTGGCCAAAGGAGCTTGTATGCCTGCATTTAAACACAGAGGATTAAATTGGGTCCTTGCCACAATCCCCAATGAAAAGGCAGAGTCTAGTTGTGCCAGTCCAAGAACAAATGAGGGAATCACATTCTCTGTTTTGCCCGTCTCCTTCATATCTAGTGCTGGAGGTGGCAGTAAGGAAAAAAAACTGCACTAGTGCCAGACCTAGAGAGGGCCACATCTTTTGCTGTGCTGGCTCAGCTGAAGTGGCCATTTTCTTGAAACAGTAAAGCCAAAAGCGTGCCAAATTCCTTCCATCTTCCCTGACGGAGAAGGTGCTTTTCTCTCTGACTATGCTGCGTGTTTCCACTCTCCCTAGATTGCTTTTGTCCCTGCACTGCTACCCATGATACAAGTAGCAATTGCAGCATAACAACTGAGGCAAGGGTGTGCCTTGCTTCTTCACATGGACCTGCAGCAAGGGGTGCAAACTGACCCTTAATTTGGCCTGCGTTTCCTCTTACAGGAAGAGCCTCACGTCAGCATTTTAATAGATGAGCTCCAAAGTCATAGGCTGTGTCCAGACATGCAGGGACATGTGCTTGCAGCGGCACAAATACTAGCGGCACAAATATGTGCCACTGCTTTGTGCTTCGGTGCATGGCCCTGCACGTGTGCTTTGTTGTGGGACACGTTGTCCCACTTTGGGCAAACTGCCCTTGCCCAGCTCTATCTGGCTCCTGGCATGCTGGAGCACCAGGAGCACAAATGGAGCAGTAGAGATGTGTTGGCCGGCATCTCATGGGAGGACCAAGACTCCGTCTCTTCTGGCACATGCTATTTTCCTGCACTCTGCACCACATTTTTCCTGGTGGGTTTTTTTTGTTACTGGGAAATCCCAGTAGCAAATTTTGCCCCCCGCCCCACACTGCAAATCTGCAGCGCGGGGCATGTTTTAATGTTCCACGCGTGTTGTTTGTGGTGCCAGGAAGAGATCAGTGGCACCCAAACCTCACATGCCTGCACGTCTGGACGCGGCCACAGAGTTTCTCTGTGATGTCCCAACAAGCTCATGGAAAGGAAATGTCTGTGTTGAGTTAGGGGACAGACCCAGGGTAACCCTTGCTCTCAGGTATTCCCATGTGACTTCATTCAATTTGTTGAAGCTGCAGAGGTACCGCTGAGCCTGGTTAGAGTTTCCATAAAGTGGCATACACCTCAGTACTTTAGTCTGAGGCAAAGCATCCACCAGCATGGACTGAGCGTGGATGGAGAAAGCATAGTAACTGCAATAGCCCACCGGCTGTGAGGACTCGCATGTGCACCAAATCCTATATTAAGTTGGATTGTGCAGGTGCAAGAGCATTTAAGTAATGGGAGTGTTTATTTGCGGCCTGCCTGAGTAACGGGTCAAGCAACAAAGGTCCCATTTATCAGATTCTGCGTAGATCCTTGCACAAGGAATACATGACCTTGATAGGTGATTTCCAAAGCAGAACAAGAAGGGAAATGTAGGCATGCCAGAGACAAAGCCGCTTAGCACATGCCTTCTACCCCATCTACAACTGGTATTAACCATACAGAGTCTCTACACAGGGTCCCCAACATGATGTCAGAGCTCATTGCTTCACGCGGCCAATTAACACTGCAGCACACGGGGTTTTTACATGAACTCTCATTTAAAATTTGGATTGCCTCTTACTGGGGTAAATTTCTCCAGGGATATTAACTTCCTAACACTGCAGGAGAGTTTCTCCTTTGTCTTTCACTCCTTGTACCTTGGTATAAGCAGATACTTGCCTACGTACTTGTTTTGACAGTCGTGATATTCTCCGCATTATCCTTTGCCATAGCCACTTCAGCAGACCATATAATTTTAACAAACACCTAACGGAATCAAGACGTTAAAGTTGACAATGGTATAATACAAAATCTTCGTCTAATAATGAACTGGAGCAGCCTTCACCTTGTTTTAGAAGAGTAAAAATGAACATTTTACAAAGCTGTTACATAAAATGCAGCGTAAAATGAACAACAAATTACTTTCCCGTTAGCTAGCTTTTAATGCTAATGGTGCTATTTATTCCTGACCTTTTGAAATATTAGATTTTTCAAATGACAACATAAAAAGAATTCTTGTTTGAAAACGCAAACGACTTTAAACCACATGTTATTATTTGTAAGTATAGCATGTGCATGCATCGTTCATTTCAGCAGTCCGTTTATGGCTAATTGGTATATATTTCAGCTGACACACATTGTTCTCCTGGAAACATGTCAAATTCTTTAACGATGTCAGTGACAAAAGCATAGTGCTTGGGATATATAAATTACGATCTTTACCATATAATCATTCTTATCTATTAGAAATGCTGTTTGCGACAAATCATGCTCAAAATACATACAAGATTGGGGTTTTTTTTAACTTTAATATCATACCATTCACAGCAAGTCTTTGATTGAATCTTTAAATGTGGCAACATTTTGGTGTTATCTGCATCCTTTCAAAGAGGAGTCGCATATTGTCGCCCGTTAAAAGCTTATTTTTGTTTATTAAAGAAAGGGAAATTCAACTCAAACCTCAACATGTATCTTTTATTATCAACATTAGAAAACAAATATGGCATAATTGTGGTTATGGAATGAGTAATTTGAGGAGTAATACCTACATCGCAGCTTAGATTTTATCATTTCTGCTGGAAATTACTATTATTTGGTTGGTGTGCAACACTTCTATTGGCATTTAAATGTGGGAGCTGATATAGTTAATATATTTTCATTACATTTAAAATTGTTCTGGATTATGCATTTTCATCATATATGTACTGATAAATATGAGACCTGTCAAAAAGGCACTAAAGATTTCTTACAAATAATTTTACTGAGCTCAGTGCTGCCTCCAAAACATATCTTTTTTAGTTTGCCACATAAATCAATGGTTTAATCTGGTGCCACCAATTTAAAAATATTTCTTGAATAATTGGCGGTGATGAGTTCTTTCTTCTGAACCTCTTAAAGATTTCTTATCTCGGATTAAAGCTCTCTTCAGTGAGTCACAGTTGCTGCTACTGGCATTTTATGCATATAGATTTCTTTCCAAGCCCTACTGACATTTGTCATAAAATGTAACAAATGAGGAGTCTATTAAATAATATCTGAAGTCTATTTTGTTATGGATTTTAAAGCAAATCATATACTATTTAGCTATATTGTAGAAGATAAGTTTAAAAGACATACTATGAATATCTGTATTTAATCTGGTAAAGCAGATCTTGTAACTAAAACCGTTTTGTCAAAAACATTTCATTCAGTTGAAAATGGCTCATCTGACTTTTTTATTTCTTTAAAAATGTCCGCTACTGTGAAACAAATGTTGATTTTTGTTAAAAGACTTAACACTTTAATTTCAGTTTTTAGTGTTTTGATTTCAGTGTTCAGTGCTTTCCCTCCTCCCATATTTGCAGTGAATGAAAAATCGTTTTCATCAGTGTTTTTCATGAAAAAAGACACCATTTTTTGACCAGCTCACCTGAAAAATATTAACTGTGGCCAAATGCCACTTGGTTCTGAATCATGGCACAAAAAAGAAACCATAAAAAATCCTAAAGTAGTTATATATATGTACATTTAATCATACAGTTGAAATTGAGGGGATGCCACTGTGGCTACCACATTTACCATCTATATTCTGTTGGTAACCAAAGACATTTATGGGACCCAAGTGTGCTAATTGCCATACAATTATTGGTGTCTGTTTGTGGTATTGGAGCATCTTACCTTTAATTTCACTGATGCAGTGAGTAAGATTTGTCCTCAAAGCAATTAAGGAAGTGAAAAAAATCAAGAACCTAAACCTGGAAAAAAGCACAGTGTTTCACGGTGTAACGATCTTAGATAGCTACAGTCTTGAATTAAAATTGCAATGATGAAAACACAAATTAACCAGGGATTTGGGGTGCCTCAGCTTCCGAATCTGCAGTTTGAATGCCATGAAAGGGGACCTCATTTTCAACCACTGCTGAATTCCCACACTCTGGAAATAAATTTCCCATTAGGACCTCTAGCTGGGTACATAAAACTGAAGCATGTCCCTAATAGATGGCATTCTTATCACCTAAACTCATCAAAAATGGCCTGATATTTGGCACTTACG